ACCCAGAGGAGGTTCTCCTACAGGCATAGGGGTCTGGGTGATAGGGGAGGTGAGCTGTGGGTCCAGCATGAGGGATGAGTATCCAGGAGAAGAGGACTGGCTTGGGCAGGCGCAGAAGCAGGGAAAAGGCCGGGCTGGAGGGACGGCTCCTGAGTGAAGAGCCTGGCATTCGGGCAGAGCAGGAGGCAGGAGATGGGAGGGGCAGGTGGGTGCCTGGGGACGGCAGTATATATATATATAATTGAATTTTACAGAGAGGAAGGGAGAGAGATAGAGAGCTAGAAACGTCGATGAGAGAGAAACATCGACCAGCTGCCTCTTGCACACCCCCAACTGGGGATGTGCCCGCAACCAAGGTACATGCCCTTGACTGGAATCGAACCTGGGACCTTTCAGTCCGCAGACCGACGCTCTACCACTGAGCCAAACTGGTTTCAGCGGGAAGGCAGTCTATTAACAACAGTAACCAAGCCTCGCTGTTATCCCATCCACGTTCGGGCACAGGGCCCCGCAAGGACATGCACCGCCTTCACTTCCCACGAGTCAGTGGGTGCTGGGCTGGGCAATAGATGAGAACTGACAGGAGAGTGGATGATGCCCGCCCAGGCCCCTGGCCACAGAGCTGACGCGGCCCCAGGTGCGGTGCGCATGGAAGCTGGGCGCCCTGTGAGTCATCACACACAGGAGCCAAGAGGAGGTGCTGCAGGAAGGCAGGCCGCACAAAGAGCAGTGGGAAGGGCGCGGCTGTTGGTGCCGGTGCAGAGAACTGCCTGTGCCTGGACCCGCATTCAAGGACTCAGAGAAGATTCCAGAATAATGATAATGACATAATAACAATATTATTGCTAAGATGGTCATTAAAAGTTCACTATGTAAGACACATTTCAGGGGCGTCACAGGAGTGAGGGGCACCATTCTTCCACCTCGAAAGTGAGGTTCTGCCCCTTTAAGCAGCTCCTGACAGGTGGCATCGGTTGGCCTCGTGTATTCCAGTGGCAGGAGGGGCCATGGAGCCCGGTGCGATGCCAGGAAGTCTGCCTTGTTTGTCTGAGCCTTGGCCTTGGCCAATGGCAGCGGCCCTGGGGGTGGAGACCTGTTATTGTTGATGCTAGTGAGTTGCCACCATAGTTGCTGAGACCAGCTTTCCTCCGTGGACATTTGGCACTTTCCGGTATGAGGTTCAAGGCCGTGGGCTAGTGAGCGAGCCGCATGCAGCCTTGGCAGAGGGTGCACGGAGAGCTTGGAAAGGAACTGAGGGGCCCAACCCTCCGGGACGCGGATCAGGGTCCCTGGGTGCGGCCTGGAGTGCAGGCAGGAGGGAGGAGGCGTGGGGCGCTCCGGAAGGTAATGGGATCAGCTAAACGACGACTTTGAAGGCCTCTGTGGAGTCGCAGGATTAGGCGGAGGAGTCTGGGACGCCGGTCGGGAGATGTTGGCAGGACGAGCGCCCACCTCCTCTGCCCCACTCACAGCTTCCCACGGGCTTCCTGGGAGGGTCCTGGCATCCCAGCGTCCGGTCAGAGCCGCCAATCTCTGCAGCCGGGACAGGCACTGCACCAGGGATGAGGAGTGCCCATCATCAGCAGCAGGAAGATTGAACAGCACTTGAGGCAGCATCTGACTCAGCTCCTGTGCTGAGGCCAGAGGTCACCCTGAACTAATGGGGTGACAGTTAGATGTATGAGGGCCAGGGCCCCTCCGAGAGCAGCTGTGCAACCCAGGTGAGCCCGAGGGAGTGAGGACAACCCTGAGAGAGTGAGGCTGCGCTGACCCGGGCCGGAGCACAGCCAGGCAGCTAGCGTGAGGCCTCTCGCCTTCGGTTAGGAAGGGGTTGTGGCTGGGCTTTGGCTTCTCTCACAGGGCAGCTCGCTTTATGCTGCCTCACTTGCGTTTTCTGATTCCCAGCCCTGAGCTCTAAGGGCGAGGTGGATCTCCCTTGCCTGCGTCCATTTGGGCACTGGCACCCCTTCTTCCAGACAATTCCAGGGACAGGAACATGCTACTCTCCCTTGCTGCCCACTCTCGGGCTGGGTGGGCCCTGAGTCTTGGGCCCCAGCCACAGGTGATCAGGGAGGCAGCTAAGTGGTTAGGGGTGATCTAGCAGGCAGGCGAGTGGTTAGGAGCTATCAGGTAGGCAGGCAGAGGGGTTAGGTGTGATCAGGTAGGCAGGAAGGCAGATGGGTTAGGGATGATCAGGCTGGCAGGTGAGCAGTTAAGGGCAATCAGGCAGGCAGGTGAATGGTTAGGGGCAATCAGGCAGGTAGGCAGGCAGGCGAGTGCTTAGGAGCCAGTGGTCCTGGATTGCAAGAGGATGTCTGATGGCCAATTTAGGCCCAATCCCACAGGGATGTGGCAGTCAGACCTGAATGGGTCCCAGATTGTGAGAGGGTTTTAGGCTGGGCTGAGGGACTCCTCCCTTGTGCACAAATTTTGTGCATTAGCCCTCTAGTCTATAATAATAAAAGCGTAATATTCTAATTAGACTGGATGATGTTCCAGACAAAGCCGGGGCTGTGAAGGCTGAGCCTCTTGCACAATTTTGTGCACTAGGGGTGGGGGGTAATCCCCCAGCCTGGCCATCGCCCTGTCACAGTGCGGGAGCCCTGCAATCCATCACCCCAAAGAGGTAGGCCACGCCCACCCATCCAGGGCTCCTCTGTGGATTGCCCCAAATAGATAGGGGGGCAGGGACAAAATCCTTATGCCCCCTGGTTGGCACATGTGTCCAGGGATGGGGAAAAAGCCTCATATCTCTGGGCTGGCATAGGGATCAGGGACTCAAGCCTCATGTCGCTGGGCCTGCTCAGGGGTGGAGACACGAGCCTCATGTCCCAGGGCTCATAGCTGGGGGCAGTTCCTTGAGTCTCATGTCTCCGGGCCAGTGCAGGGAGCGGGCAAGCAGCCTGCTGATCTTTCATTATGTGACGGCATACAGGCCAATTTGCATATTATTATTAGGTAGATATATAGTGATTTTTCTCGCTATCCTGCTTCTGTTTATTCCTCAGCACCCCATTCTAAGGAACCACTATTTTTAAATTCATATGAATACTTGCAGAGTTTCTTTATGCATGCATATGGAAATACTAATATATATATTCTTATTGTCCCCTATTTATATTAAAACATTATCACATTTTACACATTTCCCAGCACCTAGGTTTTTTCACTTAACAGTGTATTTTTTCTCCTCAATCACAATGGAGTCTCCATTCCTCCCACAGCTGCAGGGACTCCAGGTGTGGATTTGTGGAATCTCCACATTTCCTCAGCTAGTCTCTTGCTGAGGGATAGTTGGGTTGTTTTCCGTCTGTTGCTGTTACCCACAGGTCTATAGTGCCTCATACATAAATGTTCATACATGTGCAAGAATAGCCACAGAATAAAGTCTTGGAAGTGAAATTGCCAGGGCAAGAAGTAGAAGTCTTGCCCCAGCCCGTTTGGCTCAGCAGACAGAGTATCGGCCTGTGGACTGACGGGTCCTGAGCACATGCCCAGGTTGCGGGCTCAATCCCCATATACTTAAAAAACAAACAAACAAACAAACAAACAGACAGACAAAACAAAACAAAACGAGAAGCCTCTGTAACCCTGAGGGTCCCCCTTATTCTGACTTGCAAGTGTTTCCCACCGGGAAGGGTTTCACTCGCACCAGCTGTGCTTCTGAGCACCTGACTCCTATACCCTGCCCAGAACGGCTTTGCCTTAAATTTGATGATTGCTGTTCTGATATGTGGAGCAAGGAAGGGCACTGCATTTTCATTTGGGTTCCTTTCATGAGTTTCATTTTCATTTTTTAAAAGTATGTTTTTATTGGTTTCAGAGAGGAAGGGAAAGAGAGAGATTGAAATATCAGTGATGTGAGAGAATCATTGATCAGCTGCCTCTTCCACATCCCACTCTGGGGTAGAGCTCACAACCTGGGCGTGTGCCCTGGCCAGGAACAGAATGGTGACCTCCTGGTCCGTAGGTCGATGCTCAACCACTGAGCCATGCTGGAAAGGCCCTTTCATGAGTTTTAGCATGTTTTCATGTAAGAGCCTTTCCTCTTACCTACAAAACTATTTACCACCTTCATTCATTCTGATTATTAGCAGTCGGCCATATTCTTACGGATTTCTAGAAATTCTTTATGTGTTAGGAAGAGAGCCTGTCCTAGTGATTGTGCCTCCCTAGCTGGGCAGTGCGACCAGAGCTTCTGAGAGGGGCTGCCCTCGGGGTGGCTAGAGCCAATAGGATGCATTTGGAAGAAGACTGAAGGCCATTCCAGAAAGCCTGTGGATCCACCCCACATGCAGCATCAGGAACAGATTTCGCATCAGGACAATCTGTTCGCAGGTTTTGGATGGCTGCTCACTAACGTCACTCAGGGAAAGGCACTGAGCATCCGCCATCTTGCCTTTTTACATAGAAAACCAAGATGCCGGATGCTGAGTGCCTTTCCCTGGGTGAGGGTGTCAGCAGCTCCTCAGCCGTCACTCTGGGTGATCCTGGGAAGGAGCTGATGCTCTGTGATTGAAGACAGCTCTCGGGCGATCTCACTTAGCCTCCTGAAGGCCGGGTGGCGGCAGCAGGAGCGAGTACGGACAGTAATGGCCCCTTGGGGCTCTCAGGGCCACTCCCAGGTCCTGCTCATGAGCACGGGATCTGCTGGGGTTTGAGCTCGTGAACCACACAGCTGTGAGTTGGGCGCTCAGGCAGAAGTTTACAGGGATTCTTCATATCCTACTAGCCATGCTAGACTGTGCAGCCAGTGGGACCAGGTGTAAGCCACACAGCTGTCCGCCCCCAGACAGTGTCTCCAGGGACATTGAACTTTGCTCATCTCATTGTCCCACCTTGGCCCAGGGTCAGGGCAGACCTGCACACATCCCTGAGATGAGCAGAACTGGTCCCAGTTCAGCGTGAGGACGGGGTACGCTGGGAGCCTGGACACTCCTGCGTCCTCCCTTTCCCTGGAACAGAACGCCTTTGCCTCACCAGGACCCTTTCTTCTGCAGCTCAGGGGAGACTGTCACCAGCGTGACCAGCCTGGCCCCCTTGCAGCCCAAGAAGGGCAAGCGGCGGAAGGAGAAGGCTGACGTTCCCCCCGAAGTCCCCGCCAAAGGTAGGCAGCTGCGTGCCTTCCCGGTAGTGGGCCAGGCATGAGACGTGGCGTCAGGATCGGGAGAGGAGGCGGTGGAGGACATGACATCTGTGATCATATGGTCCAGAGAACCTCACCGAGATTCTGGTCACAGCCCAGCCCCATCCCCGGGGTGGGTGGGGAGGTCCATTGGGCCAGCATGGCGTTAACTGGGAGGGGAGGTTAACATCCACAGACTGACTCCGCAGTGGACTTCACTTTCAACTACCAGCCCACTCTGCACACAGTGGGGAGGGGCAGGGGGTCCCATCTTCTTGGTTCGCTCAGGGGAAGGGGGCCCTCTGATTGTTTTAGAGACGTAAGCCCGGTAGGTAACTCATTTTGGACTCATTCTGAGAATGAAAGGAAGGTTATTCGTTCATTTCAGTTGTGACTTAGAGGAACATAAACGAGGAGGATGGGTGTTTCTGGAGGAGAGAAAACTGGCCAATGCAAGAGAAGTCCAGACTTCAGGGAATTGGAAGTGTAGTTGGAAGACTAGGATTGCCTGGTGAACCATTTAAAAATGAGGCAAGATGCATTTTGTCCCTCAGTTGGGGTCCCAGGGTGTCCTCCAGGGACACTCGGAGCCCTGGGCTGGGGCTGAGCTGTCCCCGGAGGCAGAGAGGCGGAGGGGCTTGCGCCTGCTTCGGCGACTGAGCTGCTGCATATTCCATTCAGTCAGCACAGAGGGTGCCCTCCCTGAGGGTCCCGGAGTGTGAGAGGGTGCAGGCCGGGCTGAAGTGACCCGAGATCCACACAGTAGAGCCTGGCTTTGAAGTGAGGCGTATCTGACTTTCAAGGCCAAGTTCAAGCCTCAGATCATCCATAAACTAGTTACATGACCTTGGGGAAGGCCTCAGTGTCTCCCTCAGTTTCCACCCTCCCTGATGACCAGTGAGAGCTGCTGTCAGCGTTGGTGTGCAGCAGGCCCGCAGGGCGGTACCACGCGGCCTCGGCCTGCCCTCCTCCTCCCTGACTGCCTGACCGCCTGACCACCTTACCGCCTGACCACCTGCAGAGGCAGTGTTTGACGGGACTGGATGACGGGAGGGATGGGCATGTCCGAAGCCTAGAAGGGCCACCCCCTGGTACCCCGATTCCAGCCCAGAGTTCTCCACGGGGCGGGAGGAGTCCAGGAGTGCACAGAGGGTGTCTGTGGTACTCCTGGTGTGTGGGTGTGGGGAGCTGGGGAGGAATCCCGAGCTGAACGCTGACTGACTCCCACAGCGCCCACTGCCGCCACGCCCCACAAGCTGAAGCTGCTGAAGCCACAAAGGAGAGACGCCTTGGTGAGTGACCCAGTGTGGCTCCTTGTCCCCAAGCCTTGCACACACTTCAGGCCCAGTGGTCCCTTGTTGACCCAAAGCCTGTGGCGACTCCTGGTGCTGTGCCTGGGCAGGGGGCACTATGCCCAGGTGTGGTTGCTGCGCCTGGGTGGGGGGCACTATGCCCAGGTGTGGTTGCTGTGCCTGGGCAAGGGGCACTATACCCAGGTGTGGTTGCTGCGCCTGGGGGTGGGGCACTATATCCAGGTGTGGTTGCTGTGTCCAGACGGGGTCACTGTGCCCAGGCGGAGAGCGCTATGCCCAGGTGTGGTTGCTTGTGCCTGGGCGGGGGGCAGTATGCCCAGTGTGGTTGCTGTGCCCAGCTGGGGGCGCTGTGCCTGCTCACCAGCCCTGGCGCCGCTCCCCTACCTGCCTAGTCCCCTCCTGGCTTCTATGCAATCCAATTGCAGTCCTTACCCTAAGGGCTGCTTTCCTCAGGAGAAGGAAGAAGTCATCCTCAGGAATATGTAAGTAGGAAGTGGACCTGCTTGTATAAATGTACCCGTAACCACAGTGAAGAACTTACACAATGGTGTTGCTTATATTCTGAAATAATTGTAGATTACAGAGGAGGTGAGCTAGTCCATGTCTGTCCCCCAGCCCCACTCCCCTGTGGGAGCGCCTTCCCCAGCTGCACTCCCCTGCTCTCACCCCTGCTCATCATGTCCACCACCTCAGATCTGTCCCTCAACCACCTCAGATCTGACCGAGGCCAGTGGTCCCTCACTGCTGTCTCCCTGGACCCGAGCCAGGGAGGCACTGCACTCGGTGCCACGCCCCTCACCTTCCTCAGGGTCCCTGCCCTGTCCTGTCCACCCAGGCCTCAGAGTTCTGAAGAGCAGTAGCCAGTTAACACTGCTCAGAATGTCCTTCACTTGTGTTCCTCTGAGCTCCTCTGATGACTGGAATGGGTTGTAGATCTGGGGAAGAACAGCCCAGAGGAGCATCTTACTCATGGCGGGGGTGGAGGGGGGGGGAAGGAGAGGTGGGAGTTGTGTGACTCCTCATCACCTGCTTGCGGTGCTGTTTGCAGGTCTCTTCAGTGTCAAATTACTGTTTTCTTGGTCCAGGGTCTATTAGAATCCACTCTTGGAGTTCCCACTCAAAGAAGGGGAGTTAAGCTCCACCTCCTGAGGGAGCAGCTGCAAAGAATTTGTAGACCTGTCAAAACCACCACAGTAGTTAATATTTTGTCCTGTCTTGGTAGTCCAGATCCTGATGTGCAAGGTTGTGGGTTCAATCCCTGGTCTGGGCACATACAAGAAGCAACCAATGAATGCATAAACAAATGGGACAACAAATCGATGTTTCTCTCGCTCTTTTTCTCTGTCTCTAAAATCAATCAATAAAAATTTAAAATAAGTAAATATTTTAGGGGAGCTCCATCAAGGCTATGCAGATATTCTTGGCCCACTACCTTAACATTCATCGGTGGAAGTTGCTACGGTGTGTTAATGGTGATTTGCTATTTTCCTCAATCTGTCCGCATTTACTATTTGAAATTCTTTTCAAAGGAGCAGATGGACCCCTTTCCTTATCTATTTATTGACTAATTTTTTTTATATCAGTGTTGGTGTTGGGTATTTTATGGTCTTCATTTCTAATCATACTGTTGCTTATTATTGTTCATCGGTTGTGCAGGAGAGAGAGGGAGAGAAACTGGCAAAGCTATTCTGAAATGTATACGAGCTGCCAAGGGCCAAGCTGTTCTTGAAGGAAAAGGACCCAGAAGTTAATACCAACTCCAAAGGATTACATTGAAGCACAGTAATTCAGTATGGTGCTAGCACAGAGGTAGACAAATAGACCACCAGAACAGAATCAACAACTCCAAACCGATCTACATGTCTGTCCTCATTGATTGGCTACAGAAGTGGCATCACAGTGTGGGGTGAGGTAATGGGCCTCTTGGACCATCTAAGCCACCGAGTAGCAGAGCCCCTACCTCACACCGCACACAGACTAGAGAAGGAGCAGAGACTGAAGGAATAAGGAAAAACAGTTTCCTAAAGATAGCATGTCTCCCGAACGCCAGGGTAGGCACAGGTTTGTTAGACATAAAAGAAAAGATGGGAGCATTTGGGTTATGTTGGAATTTAGAAGGTCTGTTCTGATTAAAGCTGTGAATACACAAATGAAAAGACAAGCCAGAGAATGTCTGACAAAGGACAGTCTAGAGTACAGGACACCAGTGAAGCAAGAAGTGACAGCGTCACAAAACACGGGAGAGTCAGAAACATGCATGTCATAAAGAAGAGATGCACATACCATAAGCTTGTGAAAATGGTTCCCCTCACTGGCGTCATGGAGACGCAGGTGGAAGGCACGGAGCAGTTCACTCCGCCAGGGGGCTAACACGGAATACTTGTGCTTTTATGTCCATTTTTCTCTGAGCCATTTGGAATTTAGGAACGAACCAATTCTGTTTGTCCGTTTCTTTTTTATTTACTTTGTTTTAGATTTCAGTAATCCTTGCTTGCTAGTTTCATTGGTCTTAGCACTGCCTTGTAAACAACTGTTTAAACTTAGCCTTTACTTTCTGGAGTTCAGTGTCTTCCTCCTCATCGCCATCCGCCTGTTACAGTTGAGGAGTTTGTCTGGAGGGAAATCCAGATCACAAACGTTCCCACTGCGCTCTGGAAACGTGCTATGTGATATGTGCACACCCATTTATATCACATTCCACTCAAAATAAACGCCCAACTCCTACCTGACCTACAACCCCTGTGTCATGTAAGCCACATATGTAACTCATATGTTCTTAGTGGTGACAGTAAGGACGTGAAAAGAAACAGATGAAACCAATTTTAATAACATGGCTTATTTAACCCATTATCTCAAAGATATCGTCACTCAAACATACAATCAGTATAAAGTTATAGTGAAACGTTTGACAGCTTTTGTTCTGCTGAATCTCCAGAACCCAGTGTGTGTGCTCCACGTGCTGCACCTCGGGGCAGGGCCACGCTTCAGGTGCTCAGGAGCCACATGTGGCTGGAGGCTGCCGTGTCAGACAGTCAGCATGGCCCTACACGGTCTGGACCCCATTACCTCTAGGACACAATTTTTACTGCCTCCCCCTCCTCTTTCCCCTTCCCCTCCGGCCACATTGGCCTTCCTGCTAGTCCTTAAACACCCAAAAGGTCTGCCAGGGCCTTTGCAGCCGCTGTCCACTCTTCCTGCCCACCCTCCACCTGTGGCTTACCACTCTCCCCGTCTCCGCCCCCCCCCCCCCCGCCCCCGGTCTTTATTCACATACACTCAGTGCAGAAGCTTTTGAAGATCCTGATTCAAACACGGCACTGCTGATGGCTCACCCCTCAGAGGCGCCCTCACAAACGTATGTTTACCTGTTCACTGCCGCTCTCCTACCAGAATGCAGTCTGCGCAGGCAGGGAGCTCGCCTGTGGCCGGGGCTGGTGCCCATGCCCAGCACAGTGGCCAGCAGATGGAAGTGTCGGTGATGCTGATGCCAGCTCTGCCTTCTGCTTTTGTCCGTGGGGATGGTGAGAGGCGGTGACTTACAGAAGGTCAGCAGCTATGGGTGGCAGGCAGACTTGAACCTGGGTCCTTCTGAACCGGAATGTAAAGTGAGAACCTGCTCCCTGGAGGATTGGCCTCGGAGTGGAATCCGGGTCTCTGTGTTCGGCTTATGTCCTCAGTGGTCCAGCCTTGCCCACCCTTGCCTGTCTGGGCCCCAATCCCCCCTTCTGTTGGAGAAGCTGGCTCACCTGTTTTCCAAAGGCAGCCTTTGGCCCGCAGTGCATTGTGGGCTCAGACAGTGTGAGTCACCTCGTTCATCAGACATTCTTCACCAGTTCTGCTCTGTGGACACTCATCCCTGAGTGCGGCGGCAGAGGTCTCGCCGGTTCCAGCAGATCTCAGGCACGCAGTCGACCTTCGGGGCCAGGCTGAACACAAGGAGCACCTCTCCTGTGCCAGTCCTCCCTCTGTGAGCACCCAGCGTCCCACCCTGAGACACAGTCTCCCCAAGATTGACAGGCTGAGCTCACCACCTCTCAACTGTGCAGGCCACAGCAGGTCAGGGTGGGCCTGTGCGTATCTCTCAGCTCTTTCATTTTAAAAAAAAATATATTTTATTGATTTTTTACAGAGAGGAAGGGAGAGAGATAGAGAGCTAGAAACGTTGATGAGAGAGAAACATCAACCAGTTGCCTCTTGCACACCCTCTACTGGGGATATGCCCACAATCAAGGTACATGCCCTTGACCAGAATCGAACCCGGGACTTTTCAGTTCTCAGACCGACGCTCTACCACTGACTGAGCCAAACTGGTTTTGGCAGCTCTTTCATTTTTAATTCGGATATTTATTAGTCTCACGAGTGGCTGTGCCTTGTAAATGTCCCGCCTTCCATCCTCTCTAAGGAGCCTAAAGACCCGCTGTTTCTATCCAACTCTCACCCTGGCAACAACAGGAGCAGCTACTGCTGACGTCTGCCGCCGTACCTTTTCATGTCCTTACTCTCACCACTAGAATACACGACACCAATGAAGCAAGAAGTGACAGCGTCATAAAACACGGGAGAGTCAGAAACGTGCACATCATAAAGAGGTGCACATACCATAAGCTCGTGCAAATGAGTCCCCTCACTGGCGTCATGGAGACGCAGAGATGCTTTTTGCATGGCATCGCATTAACCCCGCAGAGAGCCCCGCCCCGCCCCGGGTGCCCGTGGACCGTCCTTTGCAGTGTCCTCAGTCGTGGATGGGTCACTTTCTGCTGTCCACTGCCAGGGGGTCCCCACGTTCATTGATCCGTTACATAGACACCAGCTGTGCACCTGCCTGTTGGGCCTGGGATGCTGCCTCAGCAGTTCCAGCCATTTAAAAACCGTGGCCTCCACAGTGTTTTCAGAGCAGATGCTGGACCTGACTACTGGTTTCCATGTTGACTTTGTGTGTGTGTGTGTGTGTGTGTGTGTGTGCGCGTGCGTGGTGTGTT